TCAATACAATACTCCTACTACCGCTGCTTCAAACCGCATTTGTAGTCGTAGAAGATCATCGCCCTCCAGTGCCATCGACTGAATTCCATCCTTACAATCCGAGTATATAGTAACCCTTGTATGATTTGCGATCTGTGTTCGGCTGTGTTGATATTTGGTCCAATGTGAGGTGCAATCACTAAAAATGTTCATAATAGCGGATTACAGTTCACGTTTTCTTTGCTAGGTCAGCTGCATCTCGTACTGGTCGTGTACTGCATATCCGGAAGATTTGTGCTCAGCCATCGCCGTGATAAGTTGAAAGAAACTGGCCGTTTTTGTGTATTCCTGTTAGGATTCGAAACGAGAACATTCGGATCGGAACTTCAAACCAATACCCCTGGGCTACAAGGTCGACGGTCACTATCTTGTGCGAATGGCTCCATCGATTTAGAGTATCAAGCTTGGATTAGCTCATTCGATTTTCAAAGGCATAGAGCACCTGGTGCCTCTGAACAGTCAAATAGGCTAATCCAAGCTTGATACTCTAAACCGGTCATTTAATTCCAACAGACTTTAATATGTAAACCTAGAAGAAGTGGAATCATAAAAACAACTTGCAGATACACACATGACAGAATATCTAATTGAAAGTCATTTTCTGGCTTAGGTGTACAGATTGCCGGATGGAAGGCTGTCCCAGGTCAGTCGATCATGCAAGTGACATTTTAGACCCCTGAACATCTGATGTACTAATCGTATTTCATTGTGGTGATGTGGTCCCTGTGCGTTTAACGTTTGAACCATGTGATTTTACAGCTTAACTAGAATCCGAAATCTGTTAGTTGAATGCATATCAGAAATTTATAGATTAGGTCCCAGCGGCTTCTCTCGGTAAAGCCGAATCGAGAATAACGCGTTTGCTAATCAGGGATTTTGTTCCTCCACTTCCATCGCCACCCCCACATCGCTTCGCTTTGTTTCATTTCCAGGTTATGACTTCGCATAATGTGAAAAATATGGTCTTCTCCAGCTCCTGCACAGTCTACGGAGACCCAAAATTCCTACCAGTCACAGAGGAACATCCTATCGGGGATTGCATTAATCCGTACGGGGCTTCAAAATTCTTCGCGGAAATCATACTAAAGGTGAGCCAACGGAGTTTGATTTTTCGTTTGTGTTCACATGGGCTAAACGGTAAAATCGTATCACCCGATCTACTGAATGAAGGACGGTTTGTGGCCAAGTGGCCAAGGTCACCAACATGTGACCTGTGAGTCCCGAGTTTGAACCACCACCGCCGCAGCCCGTCTTCCCAAACAGTATTTGAATGGCCGCGGCATCCCCCGTTCCTGAATATTTACTGTACATTTGTATGTGTTCAATAAATAGAAAAAGGAAGTAAAAAGACATTTATTATTTTTACATTGATGAATGCGGTCGCAGTGAACTGAAGGGCCGTTATCATTTGTCAGATGTGTTACAAATCACACACCTAGGGCGTTATCACCTGCGTCGAGCACGATCAACGGCTGATAAATTTGCACTTGGCGAGTTTGTCCATTACTTCACTTTCTTGGACACTTTCTCTTTGTTTCCCTCTACTGAGAATATTTTTTGACGCTGCACACATACACATTCACTAAGTGTCGTCATAGCACTCTATCCAAACTGTTGACATTTCTAAACGGTTCGCCGAGAATGCACAATAGAACACAAACTCGTAAAAACACATCATGTATGCAATGAACGAAGAGTACGCTGAGGACATCGATTTATGTTAGAAAATTTCGGAATTAGATTATTTTACTGAAAATCTGCTCCACCTCCAACAGATTTTCAACCAATCTATTTTTAGCCCAACACATCCTAGTGTAGTATGCTAGACCGACTCCGGTTCTTAATCCACTCGAACTGCACTGGTAGATTGATTTCAGGTAACGCGGTCCGAGTTGTTATACAAACAGCGTCTTCACAAAAGGCCGCACAATCCCTGGGCACTCACTGACGCTCTCAATAATCAGGTAGGACACATTTTTCACACTAGGTTCTCCGTGGAGGGGGCTTCCAAACGACGTGCCAGACAGGGGAAATACAAAAAACCAATCATGAACGAAAAGGCATACGTCTCACAATCAAATCAAAATGGCTGCGCCCGTAGCTTTACTACACTAGTGCTCATTTGGTTCTACTCTGGTTGTCCAGCTACTTAGTATTCACCTTTCGGGATGCATGTTGCATACATTTGACTTAAAAACGACATCCAAGAGGTTTGTTTGAAACAGAAAGAAAGTGCGAGGAGATTATTACTCACCCATTCTGTCACTGATCTTTTTCCCCTACCACCATGGCCCCCCCTTTCCCGAAACGTGTGCGATCAGGATCTTTGCCGTTCCGATCCGGAATGGAATGTGGTCAGTTTGCGGTATTTCAATCCGATTGGAGCCCACGTGTCTGGAGATATTGGCGAACACCCGAATGGGGTCCCAAGTAATCTGATGCCATACGTGTCTCAGGTCGCTGTGGGACAGCGACCACATGTAAACGTATTCGGTAGTGACTACAACACCCCTGATGGGACTGGTAAGTAAATCAATGTTCCATATCTTTTGCAAGTCAAGTTGTCCCAGTTTCATGTCAAGATGTCCTCGGATTATTCCAAATTGTCGCTTTAACCTCACCGGTGCTGAAATGATTCCCGGACATCTTGAAATAATCCGGGGACATCTTGAAATAATACTGGGACAACTTGAAATAATCGCCAGACATCTTGAAATTAGGATCAGTCAACTTGAAATGATTCCCGAACATCTTGATATGATACAACTTGACTTGCAAAAATGAAAATCTAGGTGTTACATCCCATATAACGCTATGTTTCATAATTCAGAGCAATGCGATGCTTGCGTCTGCAATAGATGTGAAGGGACCTTCGATTTAAATAGTATTCGAAACACTGGGTCCACTTTATCCATCACATCAAAGGTGAAAGGAGACGTATATCGTATGATCTTCTCAATCACCAACGTAAAACCAACAAACAAATAGTTGGTACATAGGGTTAATTAAATCCTAGTGAACAAAAGTGTACGGATAGACACGAGCTATTAAAATGTGCTATATATCTGCCTGTTTGTTTTACATCAGCAAGATTAAACAAAATTTTTACAGCTCGCGACATAGGTGTCTTCGTTCGGTCTTGATAGATAGTATTTCCAAACCCACACACATGGACACCGCCTACGCTTTTTGTGCAACGTACATCTGACCGGCCGAGTTACGTGACCACACCAACAACCCTGTTATTTCCGCAAGTAGATCACCCATCTAACTCACGAAT